AATGGCCGAAGAGATTAGTTAAGTAAGGAGTATAATTTGCAACTCAAATTTGTTTGTTTCCCTACAGGGAGTTCAGAAGACTATTGTGTACATCATGAATCTTGTTCCTAGTAAAGCTATACTAAAGACACTATTTAAAGTTATAGATTGGTAGGAAGCCTAGTTTAAGACATTTGAATTTATGGGGATGACATGCAAAAGGAAAATTGTTACCTTTAGGTATTCTAGATTTGTAGAGAATTAGGTATTCTAGATTTGTGGAGAATCTTGTGGAGGAATGCATTTACCTCAAGTTCAATGGGAGCATATTCACTATTTTGGTACTATACGTAGATGATATTCTACTGCCCAGCAGTGACATTCGTATGTTGCATGAAACAAACATTCTTCATTTAAGATCTTTGATATAAAGGATTTGGGTGTAGCTTCATGTGTGATTAGCATAGAAATTCATCGAAACAAATCTCAAGGGATTCTGGGACTATCACAAAAGGCATATATTAAGAGGGTGCTCAAAAGGGATAATATGCATAATTGTTCTCCGTGGTATAACTCCTATTATTAAGGTCGACAAAGTCAACAAATTACAATGCCACATAAATAATTTAGAAAGAAGAATATGAAGAATATTCCTTATGTATTAGCTATGGGAAGTTTAATATATGCTCAAGATTGCACCTGTCCAAATATAGCTTTTGTTGTCAGTATCTTAGTAACCTAGGGCTAGCACATTGGAAAGCTTCTAAGTAAATGATGAGGTATATGCAAGGGATAAAGAATATTATGCTCACACAAAGTAAATCCGATCATCTTGATGTGATTAGATATTAAGTTACAGATTTTGCTGCCTATACAGATGATAGGACGTCAACATCATGTTATATCTTCATGATGGCCGACGGAGCTGTTTCATGGCGGACTCGTCGATTACGGTAGCAAAATTTGCAGTTTGCTATAAGGCTACCAAGCAAGCTTTGTAGTTGCAGAATTTTATTTCGAGGCTTCTGGTTATAGATTTTATTTCCAAGCCATTGAGATTTTTTCTGTGAGGATTTCACGCAGTTTTTTTTTTTCTTAAAACAATAAGAGTTTGGATTTATCCAAGCATATAAAAATTAAATATCTTGATGTAAGGGAGAAGATGAGGGTAGTTGTAGTGTCCATTGAGCACATCAATACAAAACTAATGATCGATGTTACCTTGACCAAGGTTTTGAGTCCCAAATAGTTTGAAGAGCATGTTGCTTATATGGGTTTAACAAACATATGGGATGCACTTGGTTAGTGGGAATTATATTGCTAGCATACAGTCTGTGACACTCATTTAGTTTGATTTATGCATATTGGATGCATCAAGGTTCATGCTTTATATGTATACATAAGGATAACAGGATATAAAGTTTTGGACTATTTTAGGTGGGATAAGGATTTTACCATATCATAAAGTTTTTGTCCACCATAAAGGTTACATGTTGGAGACTATAGAAAGTGTTGGTGCTAATACTATAACCATGGAACGGCAATGTGTCATTTGTAGAATACAGTTAGCCTTTAAGATTTTGTGTTAGGAGTTTCACTTGTCAAAGTCTTGATTTTGAGAGAATAGTTTTGCATTTGCTTAAATTGAGGATATATTTTTAGTTATAATTATTGTTAGCCCAAGTGGGAGAATATTATAAAATATCCGTAATTTGTGGTCTAATTATATAAGGAAAGGTTATCCAATATTATGATAAAAATTAGTGATAACCATCTCCCTCATTCTCTCTTAATGATAACCACCTATGATGGGTTAGGATAAAGGAAAGACACATAACAAAGAAAGGATGTAAGGTGATGATCACAGCTCTTATATATTCTCCATAAGGAGGTTTCCTATCAAGCTTGGAGGAGAAAAGAGGTGAAGACCGATCTCCTCATTCAGATCAGAATGACAAACCATTTTCTTTTAATGCTAGATCATGGAAGGTATGTTATCTATTGTTTATATTATTGTTCTTTGATAGTCATAAACAACGATCCAAAAAAACTTTATATGTCTTTCAGGTTCTTAAATTTATAAATCTGTAATTTAATTTTTCCATTACTGTCATGTTCCTTCGCAACTCATTGTCGTTTTTTAATTTTGGAAGCTTTAGAATTTTGCGTTTTGTTGAATCATATTGTGATGTCTTAGAGAGAGTGATGTCTTAAAGAGAGAAAGAGAGAATATGAGATTGTCGAGATATAAAGGAATAGAACCCAAATGAGATTAAAATAGAGGTCTAAGTGGATCCAATGTGCTGTGTCGGAAAAACTCAACGAAATCTCTATGAAAAACACTATATAAGCTAGTATCATACAAGTTTATGAAATGTTTGAAGGATGAGGTTTCTATGAGACCTTGGTTTTACTGAAAACAAAATAGTGCCTCACATCAAATCCTTGTCCGGAAAGTACTTTCAATAATGGAAATCTCTATGATGTCTCTCAAATCACTTTACAACATAAACAATAAAATTTGGGACTCAAAAAATATTACAGATCTTGCGGATCTATAAACACTTATTTTTAAAGCAAAATGTACAGTCTAGGTAATTCATTATAATTTACACTGATTTTAGAGAAAAATGGTGATTGTAAAGGTTTTCCAATTCTTGAAATGCTAATTTATATTGTTTATTTTTTATTTTTTTATTGTTCATAGATCTGGATGATCCTAGAATGGTCCGAATTGTCGATCCAACCAATTCGGATGGGGATCGACAACAGACGATCTGTTAGATTTTTTATTTTAAAAAATACTTGTGTGTATTTCAAAATAACAGTATGGTTTTTTGTGGTTTTTTCTAAGCTGTATTTGTAGAGAGAGAAAGTTGTGCAGTTTTTAGTCCCACATTGACGAGGAGAATGCGAATTGAGTGGTACTTAATTGTAGGTACTCTTATACCTTATACACTTAGTACATAGAGATGATGTACTGTGGGGCACACGAAGCATGTGATGTTCGTGTAAGGGCGCCTAATGGCGCACTTTGCACACACCGACGCGAGCATGAGGGCCCACTCGCCCGGGCATGTGTATGGGCTACAGGCTCGATATTTGCCCGGCATGTGTATGGGCTCCAGGCTCGATATTCTTTTTATGAGCATGTTAGTGTGGGACATCCAACGATATTTTTTTTATGAGCATGGTTAGTATGGGACATCCAACGGTCACTAGCCGTTGAAGAAATGAAGGCTTTTAACAATAGATGTAGAGTGTTGGAGCATCTAAAGAGACCCTTATGTTTTCATGTATCTCGAGGACAAGGGCTAATATGATTTTCAGATGGCATTCTTGCTTACTCAAAAACAAGAAGGATTCAATCTTCTTTTTTCTTTACTTTGTACTATTTTTTTGCCAATTTTTCAACATACTGATTTCCAGTAATTCAATACGATATGATCGATTTGATGGTTTTCTGGCACCAGAATTACAATTTTCGATGAGTTTTAAGGTGAGGCTTTACTTCTCCAAGAAGAACTGCATCTCTATTAAACCATCTTCCTTATAAAAAAAATCATTATTTTTTATTTAAATTTTATTTTTCAAAGTAACTTAATCATTAAGTAAAGGTAAATTTGAAACTTTTTATGAAAATATGATGGTATTTTGAAAGTTAATATGTTAAAACTTTATTTGAAATAGATCCTTGTCATTTGGTAAAGGATGTGGTTTCCGTAAGGTTGCAAGATGAAACAATCCAATTAAGGTGTGCCTTCAAATTTTATCATAACATATAATTTTGATGTAAAATGTTCTTATGATTATCTCAAAATCTATTTTCATATCTAATTATAAAATTTGAAGCCCCAAAAATAGTTAAAATCAAGTAGATCTATAAACATATGAAAATCTTGAAAATGGACAGTCTAGATAATGTGTTGTAAGATGCACTATTCATGGGACTCAAAATCTTTTTTTTTTATTCATAATCATACATCTCGATGTCGAGATGATGAATTAGAGGGTTTTTCAAAATTAAAACAACATTTTTTGATGGATTTTTCAGATGCATCTGTTCAACATTATAAGGTTACAACCTTATATAAACTTTTTCCTACCGTAAAAATTAAAACTTTACTTTTTAAAAAGATGACGAGGTAAAATTAAAGAAAATTAAAGGAAACCAAATAAAAAAGTGAGCACCGGGCCGAGCCTCTCTTGCCTTGGCCCAAGGCCGGACCCTCATGCCACATTTTATAAATCAGGCCCTAGTTTTTTTAGGACAAGCCCACCAGGCCGGGCCCAGTCACCCCAGCCCATTGGCACCCCTACAGGAACGGAGGTTGAAGTGTTTCTAAACAAATTAACAAGGCTTTCCTATCTTTTTCAGTTTTTCACCTTTTGATTTATAAGAGTTTTTAACTTCAATAATTCTCTCGAGTCCCGTTTCCTTCTAATATGCAAAGGCTGTAACATATTCTCCAAATCTCGTATTCCACGAAAAAATTGGAAAGAGACGTAAAAAACAATGTAAGAGATCAAAGAAACGATATGCTAAACATAGCAGCATGTTTGATAAATAGAAGTAAATTTATTTCAGGATGCAAAGGCTGCAACATATTCTCCAAATCTCGTATTCCACTAAAAAATTGGAAAGAGACGTAAAAAAAAAGGTAAGATATCAAAGAAACGATATGCTAAACGTGGCAACATGTTTGATAAATAGAAGTAAATTTATTTCAAGATGCAAAGGCTGCAACATATTCTCCAAATCTCGTATTCCACGAAAAAATTGGAAAGAGAGGTAAAAAACAAGGTAAGAGATCAAAGAAACGATATGCTAGCAGCATGTTTGATAAATAGAAGTAAATTTATTTCAGGATTTTTTACTTTTAATTAGAATCTAAGTTCAGATGTATATATTAATATGTTGGTCTAGTCCCCTGCGAGTTTGAGAGGCAGGTTCTCTAACATTTGGGGTTCTCAAAGTAGAGAAGAAGACCCTCACAATGTCAATGTCGAAGTGCTCCGCAATGACTCTGGCCCTTGTGTTCTTATCTCTGGCCATGTCCTGTGCCCATCCTAACAGAATAGAAGAAGAAAGAAAAATAAACAACTTCATCAATGAATCCTGCAATCACACAACCGACCATAACTTCTGTGTCAAGACGTTGGGCTCAGACCCTGATGGCACCTCCGTCAGGGACTTGGCTGGGTTGACAGCCATCGCGCTCAAGATAACGGTAGCCAATGCAACAGACACCTACGCTTACATATCGGAGCTGTTAAACAGGAGCGGCAGTGACAAGAAGGAAAGTTTTGAGGACTGTTTGTATGTTTATCGATTGACAGTGGACTATCTCCAGTTATCGGTGCCGGCTCTACAGCAGAAGAACTACATCGATCTCAAAGTCTACATTAGTGGCTCTCTCATTAACCCGGCGGACTGTGAGGAAGGGTTCTCTAAGGATGGCTCTCCACTCACACAGAGGAATAACAATATGACCAAACTCATGTTGATGACTCTTGATCTCGTAAACTATCTTTCTACCTCCTGATCTTGCAAGGATCCTATGCAATGTAGTTCTTTGTTTTGGATAATGAGGAACCTTTTTCATACAAGGGTCTTCTGGAGCGTGTTTCTTTGTAGTATGGAATAAATTGCCTTTTTATGTGATATTTAATGATTTATTTTGTTAGAAATGAGAATTAAGAATTCATTGTGAAGTAGACCCATTTGAATTACCTTACATTAGTACAATTTATACTACGTGCATGAGGTCGAAAAATATATAGCGAGGGACCTCATTATATTATTTTATGCTATATGGAATATTTGTTGTGTGCGGAAAGTCTAAAATCCGAAGGGTTGATTTTTGATAAATAAAGTGCACAGAAATTTACGTTGCTATGTTGTTCGTCGCAGATGTGATTATAACTACGAGCAAAGAGCAATAATGGTTTTCCACCCATTCAAACACAAAATTACCGGACACTTACCTTATAGGACGATACTCCACCACATGCCTTATTTTGTACAATATTTCTCTCTCTACACACTCAAGTTTCCTTTCTTTTTTTGACACTTAGAGGAAAAAATTCACCCAAAAGACGCAGGTAATGTTCCCTATTTTTTTTTCCCAAGACTTTTAGAAACTCACCTTAATTCGAATCTTGGTTCACAAGTCTATCCTAATCACAGTAGAACCTACTTAAAACAAGCCCTTAAAATTTATAACTTAATTGGGATCCTAACTAAAAAGGAAATCACCCAAAAATAAAGGCAACCTTTGACTAACAAAAAGATCACCTAGAGGGTAAGGAGGGGATACCATAACAAAAGGGATTCAAGGCAATCCAACACGTAGAGGGTAAGGAGGGGATACCATAACTAAAGTGATTCAAGGCAATCCAACAAAATTTCACTTTGTCTTGAATTCTTAAAGAGATTCTTATTGATTGTCTTCCCTAAATGCACCCCACAGGTATTCAACTTGGCAACACATTGGTAAAGTTCAAGCATATCTTCAATTTCTATAATGGAATCGGCTTTATCAGAGAATCAGTAGTAGACTGAGAGTTAGAACCGTAGCGCACTATCTCTGGACGACCTCAAGTCGAGTCCTCAAGAAGTGAAGGAAGCAATAAGCAGATGGAGGGATAAAAGAATGATGAAGTAAAAATAAGGTAAAGTGAAAGAAAAATTAAGATATGATTTAAAGAGAGAAGAGAGTGCTTAACGTGAGAAAAAGTGAGATGAATGGGGGTCAAGGAATGATGGACACGCCTATGGTGCAGGTCCGGACTCTAGGGGGAATGAGAGGGCAAAAGAAGTGAGAGAATAAAGAGCATATGGAGGATTAGTATGAGAATGTGGGGGGAATAGAGTAGTGTATGGAATGTGGAGCGGATAGAGGCAGATGGAAGTGTAGGGCAGATAGCGCGGATGGATGTGAGTAGGGTGGATGGAAGTGTGTAGGCCGAGAGGGGTGCTGGACTAAGGGGAGAAGTGGATGGGAGAGAGACCAAGAGGGTAAAGATAAAAAGAGAGAGTGGGGCGGACCTGCATAAGGCATGGGTCCCTCACTTGGTGAGAGGGAAAGAGAGAAAGTAAGGGAGAGAGAGGCTCGCCCTAGGTGTGAGTCCAGGTTTGGACATGAGAGAGAGGTAAAGAGAGAAAGAGAAAGAGAAAGGGGGAGGATGGGGGTTCGGACCCCTCTTTGGGTCCGAGCAGGAGAGAGAGAAGAGAGGGAAAGAAAGAGAGCAGGAGAAGAGAGAGAGTAAGAAGAAAGAGAAAGGCTAAACTTTTCTTGAAGCTTTAAATTTTATAATTAAAGATGAAAATATATTTTAAGGCTATCATAACGATTTCCAGTATTGAAACCGTATTTCTTGACACTATTTGAATGTGCGTTTGACTTTGATTGTTTAGAGCTGCGGCTCTATACAAACTGCACCCTTCAAAAAAACAATATGATTTTTTTGCGGTTTTTCTGGAGCTGTATTTTTAAGGAAAGAAAGCTGTGTGTTTTTTTGTCTCACACTGAAGAGGAGAGTGGGAATTGAGTTGTGTTTAAGTGTAGACATCCTCATACCTTATATTATTTATCCAAAGATGTAGCGATCATGTGTGCCCAAGAACAAGAAAGTTTCAATCTTCTTTAATTTTTACTATATTTTTTCCCTTATTTCATCCAACTGAACTCCAACACGATCAGCCGCACCGATCATTTTTTAAGGAAAATGTTTATATAAGGTTACAACCTTAAAATGTAGAATGATATATGCAGCTAAAAAATATATCGGAAAGGTTGTTTTAATGTTGAAACACCTTCTAATTGATCATCTTGACATTAAAATGTATGAATATAAAAATAAATAAATAAATATTTGACCCAAAAATAGTGCATCTTGCAACACATTATCTAGACCATCCATTTTCAAGATTTTCATATGTTTATAGATCTACTTGATTTTAACCATTTTTGGATTTTAAAATTTTCTAATTAGATAACAAAATAGATTTTAAGATAATCCTAAGAATTTTTTACAACAAAATCACATGTTATGATAAAATTTTGTGGTGAGCCTTAATTGGATTGTTTAAGGTTGCGACCTTGTAGAAACCACACCTTTTTTTAAAACATAGCTAAGTTCGAATACGAGGGTCATTGCCGCCATGGTTGGCATTCTTTTCTGATGCATGCGGAATTTATTGTCATCCAGCATTGTAGTGAAAAACAAAATGAGTCGCACCTATAAAAAATATAAACAAGTATTACCAATAAAAATAAAATATCTAAAATGCCCTTGTAAATTTCAGGGATATTTTGGTCAATATAATATCTAAAATGCCTTTGTTAATTTCAGGGATATTTTCGTCGATGTATTTTGTCAAAAATATTTTCTAAATATTTTATTTTGGTGCACCCCATTGAGGTGATTGCACGAACTGAATTTCATATTAATATAGTTAGTACAAAAAAATTAAAAATAAATTATTATTATGCATCAGATCTAGATTAAGTGGTTAGTGGCTCAGTTGATCTAAATTGGATGGCTGGATGAAGGGGAAACATAGATCTTTTATGTTGTAGGGGAAGCATAAAGATTACCAAATCTGCATCATCATTTAAATTAACAGTGAAGATGTGGCTACAACCACACTTGTTGGGTTGTAGCTGCAGCCATATCAAAACCAAAACCACTAAGGATGCATATGTTAGTTTGTGTTTGTATTAGAATCCGGATTGGGCTTAAATTGTTAGCGTTTTACATCATGCTATGTCACAAGCTCGATTCTTACCACTAACCTACATGACAGTGAAATTTCAACCCACAAAATTTAATATAAAGGTCCCAAAATTTTTACCATCGGATATTATGAAACCGATTTTGAAACGTTCTACTCCATATTACCGTAAACTATCATGAAAACTGAATTTGAAACACACAAGGAGGGAGATCGCTGCAATTTTTTAATCAATGTTCATGCTAAAATTGACATACACACAATGAGATGGAAACATCTAATACTCCTTGTTACCATGATACCATCCACTACCAAGAACACAGGTACAGATTACTACAATTTTCTAGTCAATGTTTAGATTAAAATTGACATACACACGATGAGATGGAAACATCTACTTCTTGTTACCGTGATGGTATCATCCACTTAACACAGGCACATGGAGATAACTGTTATGATAACATCTAATTGGGCAAACCAGTATAGAACTCAATGCCAGTAGATGGCAGCCAAGACCCACCATCAATGAAATTCAGGACTGTGAATTCATTTGCCTGTGTAACATTACGAATAATGTGATAGCCAGGCCACTTGACCCGCCCACCCAATGTAGAACCTGGACCATAATTCTTATATTCAGCATAGAATAAAGTGTTCAAAGCAAAGCTACCATCCCAAGCTAGCCACCCTTCAGACTGTATGATGCCTTGCAGATAAGATTTCATAAATACTGATCTAGAATATTGTTTCCAAGGCCGGCCCAAGTAAGTTGGTGTCGAGCTTGCCTCATTTGAAGCTCGAACGGTACAGTTGATAAAAGAGAAGCCTGTGTTGTTCTGGGGATTAATGCGGCCTTGGGCAGTGATGACATTCTGTTGGTGTGGGAGAGGCCTATGAGTCTCGATCACACAATTCTGAAATATTGCAGTGCCGTCACCAAAGATGAAATCAATGGTGCCATAAATGTCACACTCGCGGTAGAATTGTCGGTAAGTCCGGGCATAAAGAGTGTCCTGAAAGCCCTTGATAGAGCACCGATAGAAAGCTGACTCATCTGAGTCCACCCTAAGGGCCACTGCCTGGGACATTTCGGGACCAGCCGTATTCTCAAAAGTGATGTCTTTAGCAATAAATCCATATGCTGATGCACCTATAAAAATCATAGCACAATGGGAAATTACTATAAGGTATTCCCAAAAGTGATGTCTTTAGCAATAAATTCATATGCTGATGCACCTAAAAAAATTATAGCACAATGGGAAATTACTATAAGGTTGTAACTAATAAAATAATAACGACTAGAAAGCAATGGATGGAATGTATACCAAAAGTAGCAGTTTCCATGGTGCTCTTCCATCTTCCGCCAATGCTTCGATTGCCGGATATAACTGTTATATCTTTCCCGTCGCCAATCAACATGACATTCCTCTTTCTGACTTCAACGTTCTCGAAATAAATTCCAGCCACCACATGAACCACGTATCGTGCATTCCCAAGATCAGGAGCAGCTTCTACTGCTTCCTGAACTGATCGGAACCGGGCACTCCCGTTCTGCGAAACTGCCACATGAATCTCATTTGCAGTTGACAACGACTTACGGTCCAACAGATTAGCAGTAAGAAAACCAATTTGCAGGGTTAGAGGCAGCATAAAAAATAGGAGTACTATGGGAGACGACATCCTTGATAGTATGAAGTGAACTGAAGCAAGTCCCAATGGAAGAACGAAGTGATGGAGGTACTGAACTCAGCTAAAGGTTTTGCAAGACGAGATGGAGGTTTTGCATGTGAACGACTGTGTACATAGGCACATATGCATTGTATTCGTCCACAATTCTTATAGAGATTTTAACTCACGTTAATGGTGCCTTTTGGTAATAATAGAAGACTATCATAGCTGTTAACAAATAGGAAACCCAAGACACAAAAGTGGCAGGTAATATTGTCGGTTCTGATTCCTTTCGTAATAGTAGGCAGAAAATCATCCCTAAAAATAAGAAAATCATTCCCAAAAGAAATGTATTTTTGGTGGATGCTTTATTTACCTTCCTGCCTTAATTTGAAGTTCTGCATAAGACTCAAATTTCTCTTCATCACCCACCAAGACTTTGTATTTTAGTACCAAATCACCTTTCACTATTATTATTTACTTAAAAAAAAAATGATTGATTTGCAAATGGACCTTAAAATTTTAGGTAAAATACAGAATGCTCTATTTATATTTGCAGAAATTATAGAGAAGGTCGGTAAACCCACTTTTTTTTTTTTTCAAAATTGTCCCTCAGTCAACGCAAATTTTGTTATTTTTTTTTTTTTTTTTTTGAGTTTTTTCATTAGTTGGGCAGTGCCTTAAAGCTTGCGTTGTTGCCCTTCTAACAAAAACAAAACTATAAAGAAAAGTCAAAATTCTGATTGACTGAGGAGGAGAAATTTTTTTTTTACAAAAAAAAAAAAAAAAAAGAAGTGAGTTGACCTACTTTCTTTGTAATTTCTGCCTATAAAGGAAACATTTTAGATTTTATATAAAATTTTAAGATACGTACGTAAATCACTCACTGTTATTTACTACCATGATGCCATACTTTTCGTAGTTGACAAATTCTATGTTCCCGGAAATGATTGAGGACATAGTAGTGATTTCTATAGAGTAATCTCTCAAGATTAATATTTTGTTCCATTTTTTAAAACTTAGAAGACCAAATATGGGCAGAATAATAGAACAAACTGTACAAGAATTACTTCCCTAAAAGAGTTGGGGATTTTTATAAGAGAAAAGTTTATATGACGTGCAAGCCTTATAATATAGAAGTAAGGCGTGCTAAAAATTCTACCAAAAAAATATATTTTGATATCAAAATTCCTTCTAATGGATCGTCTCGATCTCAAGATGTATAGATATGAAGAAAGAAAAGGATTTCATGTTTAAAAAATAATGTATCTTGTAACGCATTATGTCAACCGCCTATTGTCAAGAATTGTAACATTTTATAGATGTGCTGGATCGGTACTATTTCTAGAACTTTAAATTTCAAAAAATAGACTCAAATATATTTTTTCATGCTATCACGAAGGTTTTCTATAGCGAAACTACATCATTCAACATGATTTGGCTAACCGCTCCCTTCTTATGAAGAGTTATGATTTTGAAATTTTTTTTTTTTCCATGTACATGAGTGAAAATTATATCCAGTAATGTTTGTGATTCATTTATACATCGTAATATTTGAATTTACAAATAGTTTATTTCGACAAGGTAAAATAAAAAAATTTCTACCTATCTAAAGAAAGATCAAACCTTCAGTTTACTAATGTAAGAGTGTGAGAGTGAATCTGGTTTTCACTTTGCAAGAATGCTCATTGGTCAAAGTTCGGTTTTCCACTAAATTTTTAATATGCCCTTTCTCTTCCGTGATCAAAGGATAGAAGATCTATACTTCCCCTACCATCCAGTTGTACAATTTTGATCAAGTGAGCCACTCACTGTTTGATCATAGATCCGACACCTCAGAGCATTTTATTTTTAATACAAATTGTATTAATATAAAATTTGGTACATGCCATCTTCTCATTGGGGAGCACCTATAAAAATATTAAAAATAATTTTTAGATAAGTATAATGATCAAAATACCCTTTGAAATCTCAGGAGGATTTTGGTCTTTTTATTTTATTGAGAATAAGTTTTTTATATTTTTTACAAGTGCGAGTTTAATAGATGATTGGACGTCTAAATTTGGTGTCAAAATGTTTTATATAAAAAAATTAAAAATAAAATGATGTAGAGACATGACATTGTGATTGGGAGAATCTTAACCCTTCATTCAAAATGGAGGGTTGGATAAAGGGAAACACATAAGTTTTATGTTGTAGGGGAAGAAGTGGTCTATCGAGTTTGGGCACTTGTTGTAGTACGAAATGCATTTGAATTTATTAACGTCTAAGCGTGGTAGTGGAAAACAAAACAAGTACATGAATTGGAATGCTTACTACAAAGGCATACAATACATGCACGTAAAAGGATAAGATAATTAATACTTTTCTAAAACTAAGGGGCTCTTATCGTTTTGGGTAAGTAAGTGGAACTCAATTTAATCGTGTAGTATTGGAAAAACCCTAATACTCTAGAGCTCATGATCGTCCATTGAATTGATGGGCGGTGATGGAGACCATCAGAGCCTAACCCCAATGGTGGGCTCCATCCATGAGCTAATCGCTGACAACCCTAGGCCAGCCACCCTTCTGGCACAAAGTACCAAACTCACTCTCTCTCTCTCTCTCTCTATTATGCGGTTCTCAACATAGAAGCTCATGAATAGTGTATCTCTCTCTAACAGACACAATTGCGTGAAACTCATGCATAGTGATGAAGTCATAGACTCTCTCTCTCACACACACACAAAAGCGCTTCGAAACTCGTGTGAATTGATGGAGTCCAAAGCTTTTCATAGGAAAGACCCTTGACCATCCAAACATTGATAATGTTTTCTCAAAAGATCACAGGCATCCCATCATCTTAGAAACTCCTAGTAATAAGATACAAAGTGAGAATACCTAAAGAAAAAGAAGAACCCTTTTACCCAAATCCTCCTCCCCGTTTGCTAGACCCATGTTTACATGTGCAAGCGAATGAATATTAGCCAAGTAACATAAAAACAAGGACAAGAAGATAAATAGTATATATGCGGCCTTCATCTCCCTAGGCTTCAAGCATGCACGATTCTACTTGGTAGCTCATCTTTGTGTTGCTGAGTCCTCAGTTGAATAATGTGGCACCTAAGGCTTCTCTCTTCAAGCTACTTAATTTCAACAAGAGAGAGAAACAATCAAACATCAATTGCCAAGATCAAAGAGATTTAATACTAGCAACTAACGTTATAATAAATAAATTTCGAAATGGTCTCATTTGTGTGCATTTGGATGCAACCATTGACTGGGCTTGGTGTTCATCAGGGTTCGGACCACATTTTAACGCCTGCTGACCGGAACTGAGGGCGTGTTTGATTTTCAGAAAATACGGTTTTGGAAACCACATCTTCTTATACTATAGCATCTTCTTATTTGATAACAAGGAAGCTTTACAATAACGTGGATACGGTATCAACTTTCCTTATATTTATGGCTTAAAAGTGGATACAACCTGTTTTGTAAGTGACTGTGGAACTTGGGGTATCCACTTCTTTGAAAGATGCATCTTCCAAAAATCAAACATACCCTGAAAGTTCTAAACTTATGAATGGATCCATGATGAGTCCTGGTATCCTCCGAACTGAAAAGTGCATGCACGGGCATTTTGTTTCTGTTATGGGTAGAATGGTCTTGTGGGTTTTTAATGTCATCTTGGACGATTTAATTTCCAATTCCAAAGAAACTCACACAAGTTCATGGAGAAAGCATACAACACACCATTCATCTTTGGCCAATAAGGTCAGGCCACCTTTAGTTATTAGATGTGGAATTAGGAGGCCAAGGCCCCAGGGTATGCTATTCTCAAATTCTAAACAAATTTGAATCTTAACACATCACTAGATAGGATTCACACCATGTAACATATCTATGAAATATATTCAAATTTATATAATTATACATAAATATTTGAATACATATTTAAGAAATAAATTCACTATATTGTGCTTTTTAAACGTGTTAATAAACATGGAGAAAAGAAAATTTGCAAAAAAAAAATTCCTGCAAATTGTTCACATATATAAATATTTTTTCTAAAAAAATATTTATGCACCAACCAAACGTGCCTAAATTCGTTCCCCTTCTTTCCTTTTCTATTTTTTGCATGATTGCTACTTGAAAGCAGTAATGCAATCATCAACACCTAAACCAACTCATTCCTAGAACTTAACAAAGTTGGGTTGATGGTCGTCGAGTCGACTGCATTTCTTAAAATGTCATTCCACTTTTATTGTCCAATTTTTATTTTTTTTGTATTTTGGTATCATTTTCTTTCATAAATCAGTGCTAATTGAATTTATCTGCATTGCAAAATTTACGTGAAACGTCCATCAACATGACTTTGTATTTTTTATATCGTAATAATGAATTAAGGAAATCTTGGCCCTAAGGTCGAGTGGATACAAGTTGATCTAGAAGAGATCAAGTTTTATAGAAAGAGATAGGGTCATGCATCAACATACTCCACGCAACAATAAAATGTAGCAATATCACAAGCGGTGTCTACCAATGGGAAATGTATGAAGGCCGCAAAGAAGAGGAGCTAAGATTTATGGACAATGGTGGTGAAATTGAAGAACCATGCTCCCATGGGAGCCATTATTGTGCACCTACATGGGCGGACTTTCTCAATCTGAAATTATGAAAATCACCTAAGGATCACTAGATATTATTTTCAAAATAAAAAATTGAATTTTAAATTTTAAACAACTTAGATCTCACCACCTAAAAATTAGATGATCTTTGTTCGATTAGGAAGCCTTTTTTTGAAAGGGTGCAGTTTGCATACGGATGCATCCATAGGTGTAGAGGTAAGGTGCACCTTCAAATTTTATCATGGTATATAATTTTGATGTAAAATGTTCTTAGGATTGTCTCAAAATCTATCTTT